CCGGGCTGGACCCCGGGCTGGACTCGGTGAAAGCCGATCCGGCGATCCACAGCACAAAGTGGATGTATTTCCTCAGCGACCAGCACGGATCAGCTCTAGGCATGACGAAGCAGATATCATCCTCTTTTGGAAGACCAAACAAAGTAGTTTCGCTTTCACAACGAAGCACACAGCGTCTTCACGACATGGCGGCGGCAACAACAATACTACAGCGAGAATAAAAGTTACGCCTTCTTTCTTTGCGTGAACATTTGGGCGTTATGCAAATCTTCCCACATAGTGATGTAGGTATGTGGGGGCATGTTAGAACGAGCCGTTTTAGGTAGACGTGGCTGACTCTTAACTTTTATAAAGAATATCTCTTTGGATTTGAGACTTTAGTCTTTGCAACTTTACAGATCTTCTTTATGCACCAAGAGCTTGTAACACTCCAAAGAGAAAGGAACAACTGAAATCGCATCATATGACCCCTTTAATAAAAACAGTATTTTTCCACCAAACAATGAAGTTCCTCAGAAGTTGCAACAAAGTGGTTGCTGAGCAACACACAGAAGTTAACAAAAGTGTATGTTTGTAGAGTAATTTACAACAGCTTCGAACGTAGCTCAGCCAATTTGAATCAAGGACTGGAACTCTCCGCTTTATAATCACTTGTTTTTAAACAGCAATGCTTAAAAACACATGCAAATGATACATTTTCGTGACCACATACCACAGCAAATACCAGAATACCTGAGAAAATGTACACAGTACTAGTGAGACCAGATCTAGATCGAATAGGTTAAGCCACAAAATATTTACTTTGACAAAATGCTGAAGAATTTCTGACATGGAACTCTCCGCTTTATAATCACTTGTTTTTAAACAGCAATGCTTAAAAACACATGCAAATTATACATTTTAGTGACCACATACCACAGCAAATACCAGAATACCTGAGAAAATGTACACAGTACTAGTGAGACCAGATCTAGATCGAATAGGTTAAGCCACAAAATATTTACTTTGACAAAATGCTGAAGAATTTCTGACAAGTTTGTTCACGGCCTGATGTTTCAATGAATGTTCAAAGAGCAGAAAGTCTCTTACAGCATAGTGTGACCTTATAAATGTTGTGGTGGCTCCTGCCGCTTCTGTGAGAAATCGCTCTCGAAGCCTTGAGGTTTTGGTGCCAGAATATAGACTTTATTACCAGAGACAATGAAGCTGAGAAACTCTGCAGAGAATCTGTTAAGTCACACAGGAAACATTATCACTTCAGTGACAGGTGCTGGTAACATGAACTGCGTTTAATGAGCGTTTATATTTATTCCTGTTTAATGGGAATTAATGTGAGATACTTAGAAACTTTACCTTTGATTTATTAATCATGTTTCTGTAGCAAAGCTTATTTCAGAGGAAACAGGTGAAAACCGGTTTTGTACTTAACCGTAATTTCACTGCTAATACTGCATGTTAGTAATAACTAAAATAGGTTTTTGACTCTCATGCTCTCGTTTGAGGTCTTATGGAGCTGTTTCTCTCTCTCTGTCTTAGGCCCGTGAACTCCAGATCCTCCACAACCTGCGCAAGCTGTTCGTTCAAGACCTCACGACGCGGGTTAAAAACGTGAGCGCCACATGTGAACACGGAGATCTGGCTTCACAAATATTCGGCTGCTGTGTGTCTTTCTGACTTGTTCTCCTCACACAGAGTACAGAAATTGGACCTGATGATAGTGGGGGGTCTAACACCCAGAAACAGAAGATTTCCTTTCTTGAGAACAACCTGGATCAGCTTACAAAGGTCCATAAACAGGTGAGGATGTGTATTCTGTGCAGAGTACATTTTCTGTCTCAATTCAGTCTTAAATTGTTAATTAAATGTGACAGAATGGATTTACCCTTTTTCTGTTGAGCAAAGTATTTATATAAAATACAAACTGCTTAGCCTTTCCAGATGAGATTCAGGCATTGTTTGGCATTTCCAGTCTTTTATTCTTTATCTTGCTCCAATGTTCTTAAAAAAATAATATCATGACAAAAATTTCGTTCACATTTAGAAATGAAATTTCTGTCATGATTTATTCACCTTCATGTCATTCCAAATCCACTTTTGTTCATCATTTGAACACAAATTTTAATATTCTGTTATCATTTTTGTCCAGCCATTGGAAGTCCATGCAATCAAATTTGTTGTTGGCTCTTAAAGACATTGTGAAAGTAATCTGTAAGTCTTTTGAAGAGACACAGTCTCTTTATATGATGAACAGATCTAATTTAGGCTTTTATTCACACAAACTTTGATCAATGCATGCAGATAGAGCTCATCAAACTATGCTAAATGGCGACTGGAACAGGCATGCATAGATGAGCTTCAATCTATCACAGATTTAACACGTCAAGTTCTTAATGTGTGCTTTCCTTCTTTCCCATCATGTAAGAGTGAACAAAAGACACAGCATTGATATATAGACCAACAATTTTCAAAAAGCACATCATTAGCGCATATGGAAACATATGGATAGCATCAGTCTTCGTATGATTGACATTGATGTTTTTGGTTTTGAGCAGGAACAGAGTATAAGCAATTGCATTTCATAATATTGTATCCCTTTATTTGTAATTGATGATCATTTTAGTTACTAATGGCCTGCTCTGCAAATGTTTGCGCAGCTGGTACGTGATAATGCAGATCTGCGGTGTGAGCTTCCGAAGCTGGAGAAGCGTCTTCGTTCTACGGCTGAGCGGGTTCGGGCGCTGGAGGCAGCACTGAAGGACGCTAAACAGGGCGCCATGCATGACCGCCGGCGCTACCAGCAGGAGGTGGAGCGCATCCGTGACGCCATGCGCCTGCGCTATCCTCCGCGACGATCCAACGCCGCTCAGATCGGTACTGCGATTCAGTGAAGAGTGCATTTTCTGTTTGGTGTCGAACCCTACAATAACAGCTACGAGAGAAACGTTATAACTTATGTGCAAGCGCTATACATTAATATATAATAATACCAATTCTGTCATTCCAGTCACATTTATTTTTATGGCATTTTATACCATACATATTGCTCCAAAAACACTTTACAGTAATGAAGAGGAAAACATCAATTTCACAAACTTCTTCAATTAAGAAATAAATTCAGTTATAATTACTTCAATTTCGACTATAAAGCAGCTCTAATTAAAATTTTCAAAAAAAGTAAGTTTTCAGTGATCTTGTTTCATAGACTCAAGTACCATATATAATAATACCAATTCTGTCATTCCAGTCACATTTATTTTTATGGCATTTTATACCATACATATTGCTCCAAAAACACTTTACAGTAATGAAGAGGAAAACATCAATTTCAATTAAGAAATAAATTCAGTTATAATTACTTCAATTTCGACTATAAAGCAGCTCTAATTAAAATTTTCAAAAAAAGTAAGTTTTCAGTGATCTTGTTTCATAGACTCAAGTACAGGTAAATCAATACACTTTACTGAATATGAATAGTTTTTTAACTCTTTCCCTACCAGCATTTTTTTTTTTTTTTTAAAGTTGCCATCCACGGCCCGCGATTACAAACATTTTTCAGTGATCTTGTTTCATAGACTCAAGTACAGGTAAATCAATACACTTTACTGAATATGAATAGTTTTTTAACTCTTTCCCTACCAGCATTTTTTTTTTTTTTAAGTTGCCAGCCACCGCCAGCGATTTCAATGATTTAAACTAAAATTTGATGGCCTCTGGTATATGTTGCTGTATGAATATTTGAATATGCAATACACTGAAATAAAGATCAGAGCCTCTACTTTTAAACAAAAAAATCAGTTTTATTCTAGCTTAAAGCATTCTTTTTTACCGTTCAGGAGGTTTTGTACTTAATAATAGCACCCCCGAGTGTGTAACAGTGAAAACACGGAAAAACATAAAAACCCTACTTTAGCGGAGAAGCGTTTTCTTGTAAAAGACGAGATAACTCGTCAATGGCAGGGAAAGAGTTAAGCCACCGCTGAACAGTGGAAGAGAACAAAAACTCTGTGAGGAAGTAGCAGACAACAGAGATTATGTAAATACTATTTTTGGTTGTGTTTTGTGTGTGACCGCTGACAGCTAAGCCAGTGAGACCCGGACACCATGTTGCAGCCACGTCTCCCAGCAGCTTCTCCTACACCTCCACGCGCGCGAGTAAACCTGCCACATCCTACAGCAACACTTTCTTCCAGCAAGAGGAGAAAGCTGCGCTTCAGAAAACCAACACGTGAGTGTCTGTCCTCCCTGTCCAGCTCCTGTCTGCTGTCTCCTCCTCTCACCTGCTGTTTGTTTATTTCAGTGTCGGATACAGCACTGTGAGATCCTCAGACATACCGAGCTCCTGTCCGCTCGACGTGGAGAACGGTAAGTGTGTGTGTGTGCTTTGACTGCACTAAAACCATTTGTCCACTACACATGTTGCTGGTACTTGGCCAGGGGATCTGTGAGCATCAGTGATGTAACTGATCACGTTACTACACGAGCAGCCCACAAACAATCATGATGCATTCAGGTATTTATGACTGTCACCTAGTTTAAGTATTTAATTCAATCCAGTTCACAAATGTCTTTGATATAACAAAGTTTAGAGGTTTATTGATAACTTGTACATATCAATTTGGTAGTTGGAAATAAAACCATTTTACCCCTATACTTCAGTCTTCAACATTAATAGCGGTAATTTCTTGTTTTAAAAAATTCCACCAGCCAGGTGTTTTGAAACACACTGGACCTCATTTCTGCAGGACAGTGGCTCTCAGGACCAGAAATGAGGAACTTATAGTAGGGGTGATCTAGTTTTGTTCTGTGTCAGTTTACCCGGGGATCTTGTCATTGTAAAATCTTTTTTTGGTATAGACGTACCTTGTCTTTGGGCCTTTGAGCAGGTTTAAAGAGCTGATGCAGAGCCGTTATTTCAATCCCAGAACCAGTTTTTTTAACCGTTTTATTTTTTCGACGCCAAAGTAAGCTATTGTCTATGAAAGTGCGAGACTTCCTATTCAGTAGCCACTATAGGTAAATAACTGGAAGAAAACAGTGTAGTAAATGATAAAACTATTTCTGTCACGACAAATCTCGGAGGGACTGGCATTGTAATGTACATGACAATGTTAATGTATTTGGTCTTGGCGGAATAGATCTGCTGTACCGAGACTTGCTACTGCCAATACGGGATTACAATTCTGAAAAGTTCAAATTCAAAAAGTGTGTTTTGCACGCGAGCGAACTGAATTTTGTGGAGAAAATGTTTGTCTCGCAAAAAAGCACGAAAATCAATTTTGCATTTAAAATAAGTTTTTGGATGTGTGCAGACCTTCTCTTTTGCGCGTGCAACGTTTCACTAGCTTGCTCACCTGATGCCCACCTCTGTGCTCGCTAAATGCCAACAGCTCTCGTGCTCAACACAACCCAGCGTTCATGTTAACTGCAAAAGAATTAGGTGTGAAATCACCAGGAACCATTTAGTCTCCAGCCCCACCATTTTCCAGAACTGCAACCTACCTGGAGTCTCCAGAGGTTTTTCAGAGACTTCGGAGAAGTATAGAATCCTAAAAAATTACCCAATATTAATAGTTATTAATATAATAAAAATCTAAAAATAAATAAAAATTAAAACTACATAGCCTAAAATGTAAATGTAACTGAAATTAGTCCAACATAAAAGCTGAAAAGTATTTAGATACGGCCGTTTCAATGGCCATGAAAAAGTACTAAACAAATCAAGTACAATGGTTTCTATGCCACCAAATGGCATTCTTCAAACAGGCATCACCTTTATGGGACATGAACACATCCTTAAGTTAGATCCTTCCTTTTTAACAAAAGAATAACAATAGCAAGAAAAATATTAATCATTGAATCACACAAACCTTGCACCTGTTTATAATGTACATTATTAATCTGTGTGTGTGTGTGTGTGAGTGAGAGGTTATTTGAGTGAGTGTGATTTATTAATATTTGTGTGTGAATGTGTGTGCACGTGTGCTTGCAAGTTTAGTTAGTTTTTTTTGTTTGTTTGTGTATGCATGGTTGGGTTCGCAACTGTATGATTTTTTTTCTTTTATGCATCCCCATAAACTAAGCAGCCAGAGACTCACCGCGCCTTCAAAAAAATCTAACTGAGGTGCGTAGACCAAAAAAGGTTACCCAAAGGTGAAGAGCTTGAAAAAAGTCTGCCCACTCAAACATCAAAGCATCACAAGCGAGATGAGAACAATATAAGCTATTTACTGAATGAAGCAAGGCAAACGTTTCGGTCACATGTTGACCATTTTCATAGTTTATCCCCATAAACTATCCATAGGCTTTTCACTCAAAGTCTAACAATGAAGACCAATTATTAGACACTGTACTGTCACATGCATATACTAAGTGCTACTGCCAAAAAAGCTGGCATTTCCTTATGAACAGTGAATAACCATTTACAAAGCATTCCACTTGCAGAAAAATCAATTTGATAGTGCTCACAAACTGTATTTTAATGCAGCCAAATTCTCAATAAAACTGTTTTCACTGGTATATTTTTCTGTTTCTGTTGTAAGACAACGGGATGAATGTGAAATAGAGACTGAAACGCGGCCCATTAAGACTACATAACCAGCTTTCCGTTAGATGTTAATCTGCACAAAAATCCTGATTCATAACCACGATGTCGTCTAATGAAATCAAATACACATAAGGTAAAGACAATGGCTGTGCTGTGATTTCGGCTAAATTTGCATGTAAAATAGAGTTAGAAGTGACAGAATTTCTTGTTTGACCTAAAGCGCTGCTACTCTTAGCATCTCGCTGAACAGAGCAGATGAAGAGAGAGGTGTGTGCGCGCTGGGAAAGCAAAACCTCGCACTCGTGCGGCAGTACCGGTGAGTCTCCGAAAACAAATAAGGTTTGTCCAAGAAGTTGCTAGATTTATCGCTAGGCGCTTTGGAAAAAAGTCGCTAAATCTAACGACAAAGTCACTAAGTTGGCAACACTGCGTACGCTCTTACTTTAGCTCTCTCTGCTTGCCTGCTGCGTCACTTGGTTAGGTTGCAGTGCGTTCAAAAACAAACGTAAAAAATAATAAGTTATTTCGAGTCATTTAACTCAAGTCTGAGTCAAGTCTCAAATCATGAATATCAAGTCAAAGTCAAGTCAAGTCTTTTATGAATATTTGTCAAGCAAGTCTCAAGTCCTAAAATTTGCGATTGAAGTCTGACTCGAGTCAAGTCATGTGACTCGAGTCTCCCACCTCTGCTGAACAGACGGGAACTAAAATATTCAGACCAAACGAGGATAATTAAGACACAGGTGAACTAACGTAATCAAAGGGGAGACAGAAACTAGGTCAAAGAACAAAACTAGACTGGGAAACAAAGTCGAAACTAACAGAAACCGTGACTGAATATCCCCTCCTGGAAGGCGCGACCTCATGCCATAAAGAGAGGAGGATGAAGAGATAGCGAACGGATGGTGAAAGGGGCTGGCATAGAGATAGCACCCCGGTGGAGAGATGCAGGAGGAGGTTTAGGAGGTGGACAGTCGACCAGGAGCAGGACAACAAACAAAGTCCATGGAGGTGCAGGTGGAGGAGAAGACGGAGGGAGGAGCCAAGACGGAGACAGGAGGAGCCAGGGTGGATCAAACAGAGGGAGGAGCCATTGAGAAAACAGGAGGGAACTGGAGCAGGAGGAGCCAGGTGGGACCCAGACCACAGCAAGGAATGCGGAGGAAGGGCTGACGACTCCAGGGGGCCGACTTCCGGAGGCGGAGCCGGTGGTAAGGGAGCCCAGGGCGGAGACTGAGGGCTGTTGAGTCAGGGCAACACAGAGGATCAGGAGGGCCAAGGTGGAGCAGATGGTTCAGGCGACCGAGGCACCGACGGGGTTCTGGAAGGACGCGTTGAAGCCGGAGTGACAGAGCACCAAGGTGGAGCTGAATGGAGTGAGGAGTCCAACGGAGCCAGAGGGACGAGGCGAAGCCAGAGGAGTGTAATGCCGAGGCGAGGGCAGGTCGATGACCGACCAAGGTGGAACCAAAGGGACGAGGGAGCCTGACGGAGCTGGTGGACTGATGGGCCACTGCGGAGAGGAGGAAGATAGGAGCCATGGTGGAGCCACTGGGTCGATGGGCCAAGGTGAAGTCTGGGACTCAGAGGCGGAGACAAGGAATCCTCCAGCCACGACGCTGATGGAGACTGGCAGACCCGCGGCAAACCCACAACACAGACTGAGGGTGAGCTGAGGGGCTGGCAGGATGCAGCGGCAAAGGGGCAGAAGATAGCTGATGAGTCATAAGAGGAAGTGGGAGAGAGAGGCTGGGCGGGAATTCGGGATAATGGGACTGGGTTCTGGGACGGTGTGTGCTGCCCACACACACCAAATGGTGACACCCATGACAGGGAGTGCCACAGACAGGGGAACAACCTCCGTGGTCGTGACATGACAGGCAGATCGGGGGTAAATCACGCCGCTTTACTTTCTTCTTGGTCGGTTATTCTGTCACGGTGCTGCGAGATTGAAGGGGCATGAAGAAGGCAAATGCAAATAGGGTATCTATTCCACAAACACTAAAGAACAGGTAATCCACAAACAGCAGAATGTTTGGTACAAACAATAATAACTGACAAACTCAAACTGAATGGACAGGAACTAAAATACACAGACCAAATGAGGATAATTAACAAGACACAGGTGAACTAACGTAATCAAAGGGGAGACAGAAACTAGGTCAAAGAACAAAACTAAACAGGCAAACAAAGTCCAAACTAACAGAAACCGTGACAGTAGGAAATTACTAGTCATTTAAATTTTTTATCAACTATGCATTCCATTAGTTTTGTGAATTGGTATGTTTCGTCATGAAGAAATACAGAGCTTAGTATCATCAGCTGGTAAGTCGGAATCAGCTAACAATCACAGTGAGTCATGACATCAGTTATTTTCACTTGCACTGCTTGCCACAAGTTTAGTGTAGCCTTCTCTGTCAGTGGTGAGAGAATTGTGATAAATGCCGTGAAACAGACAGGCTGAAAGAGAAGATTTCAGAACTAGAGACACGCATCCAAACTTTTATTGAAGATACCAAGTGCTTTCCATTTGGCTTTGCATGTGACTAGCTTAGCAAGCCCGTACATTGTTTGTTTCTGGTTGTAGAGCCTATGCAGCAGGGTGATTGGGTGACTGATTAGGTGTAGGGATGTAACGATTCACTCAACTCACGGTTCGATTCATGATTTTGATTTCACGATTCGATTCACAATTTTTACAAAATGAGATTTAAGACAAATTATAAATTAAATGTGTCCTATTATTATTGCTTGGACAAAATACTGTACGTTTCTTTGTGAAATTGAAATATAACTAAAATAATATACTAATATAGCACTTGTAATTTATTGCTCTTTTGTTGGTTTTGATCGCTT